TAAAAATATGATTTTAATTTATTAATAATAAGGAGATAAGTTGTATTGGAATCTTATAAGAGTCAATAGAACTTATTTCCTTTAATTATTATTAGTAATTTCAAAAAAATGTACTATTATTTAATTAATTTAATCCGAAGTTTTTTACTATTTTTTTTCATTACTTAAGATTAATTAACAACACCTGTCGAAATATAACCTAATCTAATTTGAAAGATCTCGCTCGCATTGGGCACCGAACCCACGACCTAACGCTCACGCTCGCAAACCTACTACGCTAACCACGGGGCCACACTGGCTACTTGGCGACATTCTGTTAATACCAGTGATGTTTTTGGCGCCCCTTTATGCTAAATTTAAAATCTTCTTATCGTTAAATTACTTATATATTTTTAATATTAATATAAAATTATTTTAATTTATATATTGCTGTTAATTTAAATAAATTATATTAAAATTTTTTTTCATTAATGGAATAAAAAAACTTTGTAATGAATGTATAAACTTTTATTTTTATTAAATTAATAACTTATATATTTATAAATACAATAAAAATATTAAATAAAAGCATAATATAAAATTGAAAATATTTCAACTGTTGTATTTTCAATTACTTGTATTTTTGAAAATACAATTATAGTAAATATTATGTTTTTTACGTTATATTAAAGATTTATTATCTTTATAATGTATTAAATAATAATTCTTTAATTATTACAATATTATAGGTATATTATAATATATAATAATACATAATAAAGATGATAAATTATTATAATATAATCTTAAAAAAACAAAATTTATTAAAAGAAATTATTTTCAAAAATGTGTTAAATATAATTATTATGATTTTTATTGTATTTACAAATATAATATTTATAAAATATTTATTTATAAAAAAACAAAGAATACTTTCATTGAAATAAATAGCAATATATTAATTTAAATAATATTAATTAATAATTATAAAATATATTAAATTGTATTTAACAAAAATTGTAAAAAATATGTTATTTAATTTGTATTGAACGTATATAAATAATTACTCAATACAATTGTATTTTATACAGGATAATAATTAATTCCAACTCTCTATTAGAATAATTTCGATTGTAAAGAATTAAAAAAATCAATCCAAGATCAGGAAAAATATCATTAAGCAGGAGTGTATAAATTTAATAGTACACGGAGAAAATTTGTTCCGAGAGTTTTACTGAACTTAGTTCGGTAAAATTGGGATATAACAGCAAAACGGTAATTTTTCAAGAATTAGTACAGTAAAATGAATTTCATAAAACTGTAATGCAAAAGGCATAAAATATTATAACACATACATATATACACGCAACACATTTTTATTTAACGTAATACATACTAAACGCATACATATAAAATAACGCAATACATATAATCGCTCGCTTTACATTACTTCAGAAGGTTTGACCTGTCCTTATATATTAACCAGGATTTTAGTTTACTGCTTGTGAGAAACATTCAAACAATTTATTGAAAAAAATAAATAAAATAATTTAGATTCAATTATTTCTGAATATGACAATTATTTTTAAGACTAAATATGACAAAATTAGGAAGCAAACTAATTTTTTTTTTAAGTAATTAAATCACTTTTTATGAAAATTTTATTTAAAATTTATTGTGATTTTAATAGAAACAAATTAATGAAAAAAAATTATTTTATTAAATAAATTATTTTCCCTAAAATTTAATTTAAAAATATGATTTAGTTTGAAAATACATTTGAGCAAAATTCAATTTTTTGTTTATTTCACCTCTAATAATAGTTAATGAATTAAAATAATTTTTCATTATGTTTTCTGAAAAATTGAATAAAGATTGTGCAATAATAATAATAATATGTATAAAAGGTATAAGTTCATAAAAAAGTACTTCAATCTTGAAAACAAATACGATTAGAATTGTACGTACGTTTTACCGAACTGGACTTGAATTATGTAGTGCCCAAAATGGAAATACTCAGGAGAGTTGGCTATAGTTTCATTCGTCAAACTAAAATTCCATACAATTACATGTAGCTTTAAATTTGATTTGTTTGTAAAATTAGTAGACCGTTAAGAGAAAGACTACATGTTTTAAATAAAAGATTCATCAAAAAGTGATAAATAGCACAGGTTTTTTTGGTTACTTTTAAATCTTAATAAAAGATTGTTTCAAAAACTAACTTTTTGAGAAATTCATTAAATAAATATTGATTTATAATTTCTTGTAGACTAATAGTCAACATAATCTACGTATAAGTTATCGTAATATAAACCAATGTTTAATGATTCAAATTTTTCATATATTTACAGTACTAGCTTGTAATAAATTAAAATATCATATCAAGTTTTAACTATCATCACTACAAAAAATAAAAAAAATATTTTGAAAAATTCCTTTTGTGCAACTATATCCCAACTTTCAGTTAAAATTCAGTAAAATGTCCGGAACAAATTTTCTCCGTGTAAAGTTCGTTTTTTAATTTTGTGGTTTTGTATGGTCTAAAACAATATTAAAGTAATATTTCAGTGCGTAAAGTAAATTTCAGTGCGTAAAGTGAATCATTTTACACACCGTTTGAAAAAGAGCTTCTTTACATACAATTTTCGGTGTGTAAAATTTAACTTTAGTGGTTAGTGTTGCAAAAAAAAATTTTTTATTGTATTTAAAAGAATACATCCTGGATTCTGCGTGGGATTCTTTTATGATTCCTGCAAATACAAATGTTCCTGCACAGGTTTCTGTACAGTATCCTATACAGGATCCCTGTTCAAATATCAAATGTAGGAATTGCTATGTAGGAACCTCTAGGGATCTTTTAAAGATCATGTACAGGAATTTTTAGCTGGGGTTACAAGTACGTGAAAACCTATTTTATGTGATTCACTTTATTGCACTTTAATATAATAGATAAAATTATTTAAAACTAGCGCTTTCGACGGCCTTTGGCCGTCTCCGTTGCTTTTATTCTTTGTCCATTGAATTTAATTTTCAATTTATGTTTTATAATTTATTACAATTATTTTATTAAATATTTAATAATATAGTTAACAAAATGCAAAAAGGCATGTACCTAATTATAGAGATAGTTTCAAACAAAAATTATAATCTACTCTCTAAATTTGAATTAGCGACAATTCGCTTATTCCCAGCTGCATACTCTGCGCTAGAAATAAGCGAATAGTCGCTAATTCAGATTTAGAGAGTATTATATTTAATAAATTTCATTATTTTAAAAAAGCGCGCGCTATTTGTTCTTGGGCCAATAATGTGATTTCAACTAAATATAGGTTATGTTCATTTCTGATTCATGACAGCTGCAAACATTTACAACAAATAAATGCTTTGCAAGTGTATATTTATTGAAATTAAGTAAGTTATGCACAATATACATGTGCAACAATAATTTAAGGTGATTTTCCACGGTGGGCCTGAAGCAACTTTAGGTTGCATGAAAATGACGAAAAAAAGTGGAAACGCTACTGTTTTCAGGGTTGATCATACATCAAGAAAATGCTTTGACCGAAATCCTAGCTGATCCATTTTGGAAAATATCAACATTTTTCATTTATATATATATATACATAAATATATATATGTTACGGTTAAAGTGCGAAGTCCGGTGAATGTGCACATTTTCCAAGCTTTTTGGTAAAAGTGAATAATCATTCATTTACGGAAGAAATTATGTAAATCTACCAAGAAAATTGGTGATTCTAAATTCTAAAAATTGACCAACGTCGGTTGGTAAATGTAGAAATGTTAAGTAAATAATTTTGTTCATTAATTTTTAATTATTATAAAATGTGATAATGTAAGAAATAATTAGTAATAAATAATCTTTAATATAATAAAAAACTTATAAAAAAAACTTATAAAAATTACAAATATTAAAATTCTGAACGGTAGTAAATGATTTGTTTAGAATCTGATTATATATCTGATTATAATTATAATAAGTTAATAATAATAATAATTCAAATTATTTAATTATATAAGGAAAAGCAACAAGATGAGCGTGAAGAACTGACTTTGGATCACAAAGATGTAGTTGCAAGCCGGAAAATCTCTTATGCAATTCTAAGTGTCATGACAGTGGCCCTTCCAAAATAAAAAAATATATTTTTCCTCCGTAGCCAAATCATAATATCAATTCTTTACTTTGACCAAAATGATTTGGGCATGTGCATAATATTGATTCTTTACTTCAACCAAAACAATTTGGTGAATGTGCACATCCACCAATTATTCACTTTAACCGTAACTTTAACCCTGCTAATACGGAAGAAATACTTATTACGGAATTTAAAAATGAAAAATGCTGATATTTTCCAAAAAGGATAAGCTAGGATTTCGGTCAAAGCATTTTCTTGATGTATGATCAACCCTGAAAACAGTAGCGTTTCCACTTTTTTTCGTCATTTTCATGCAACCTAAAGTTGCTTCAGGCCCATCGCATTTCATAAAATGAATATTGATTTAGATGCTCTGGAAAGCAAAGTTTATTTTTTCTTACATTCGATTTTTTCGACCATCGATATATTTCGATACATTTTCATGTGCTTTGCATGCACTGTTTTTTTAAGAAAGGACAAGTATAAAATCCGACAATTTTTTAAGCAAAAAGGTTAAATCATATTTCTTACTAACGGACTTCTGGGTCCAAATGGGTTAAAATAAGTCCTGAGGCTCGAAAGAAACAATCAAGGGCTCGGCACATCTTTGACGTTAATTATAGAAAATACCTTTTCTGTAGATTCTGGTAATTTTGATGGGTCACCAGTAATAATGGGTTGTCTAGAGATAAATAAAAATGGAGAGCATACTACCTCTAATCTAATCAAATCAAAAATTGCATGTAAACATAAATACCTTTATTGTGTCGAATTTAATTGTTTGAAATATTTAATTAATATTAAATTAATAAGTAACTAATAACTATTTTAATGATAATATAAAAATTAATTTTCATCCATTTTCAGGGATTGGACAGCAGTGGAAGACCAGCTTTTGTTCTTTATTTCCGTGTTCGTTACTACGTTGATACTCATTTACTTTTAAGGTGAGAAAAATCAAAGACTTTTTAATTTAAAATTTTTTTCTTAAATAAAAAAAGTAGAAAACTTTTAAGACTGATTTATTTAGTTAAGTAATATACAATACATCATCTAATTGCTGGTGTTGGAATATTTCACATTGAGTTAATTTATCTCAAAGACGGCTACCAACATTCAACAATGTTTCCTACATAATGCGTTCGGTTGCTTTCGTTTCCTCAGGCAAAAGGGCACATAACGGGTACAAGAAAAAGACGAGCGGACATATATACATATACTGACGGAATTTCTAACCGCTCCTTGCATTTGCCCGCAGTAAAATACTTTCCTAGATATTATAAAATATAACATGACGTGTGAAATATTATATTTTTTAGTAAAATAAAAATATATGGGACAATAACTAATTTACAATTTTGTTTTAACGTTATTGGTATCGCGATATTCTGTACCCAAAGAAAAATAATCTCACAGTTAGAGGAAAATTTTCCTTCTAATATCCTCTCAAAGTAAGAATATTCCATTAAAATGTAGAATACCTATTTTTATTCTTTGTTCTAATGGAAGAATGACAAAAGGATTACTTTAATATTTTCCTCTTCAGTTAAGATTTTCCGTTTATAATTAAGACAATTAGAAGAAATTAAAAGGAAAAAAAATTATGATATCGTAACAATCTGTTAAATGTCTTAAATATAAAAATTATTATTGCTTTGATTGTTTTTGTGGTTATTTCAGGTGTTCCATGCAGGTATGTAAATACAGAAAATGTAACTTCTTGCTGAACCCTTTCTTCATACTCATTTTCTAAAATTATTGCCGTTAACTTCTTTGGTCTTTGTCACTGATCATCGGATTTTCTTAATATTTTTGTACTTAGGCTTCGTCCACAAATTACATTACATATTTTAGTAAAATTAGTTTAGTTTAGTAAAATGTGACTAATTGTGACAAAGGGGGGGGGGGGGGGCAGGACATCTTATTCTGTTGTAACACTGACACTATACAGGGTGATTTTTATGTTCCGAACCCTCTAAAATTTTTTTTAATTCCATTATTTTTGTTTAAAAAACGAAAAAGAAATGAGAATAAAAAAAAAATTTTAGGGGGTCCAGAATATAAAAATCACCCTCTATAGAAAAATGTATAGTGCTTAATAAAATTTAATTTACAATAATAAAACATTATTGAAAAAACATTAAAGCATTATTAAATCCCGTCAAAATTTATTTGGTTAATGGTACTCTACACTAAAGGCAAACGCACTAAAGATTCTTAAAAGAAAACGCAATCGCAAACGTAGACGCAAGAATATAAGAAAAAGATAGACATGAATAGTATTTTTTTTGAAAATAAATTTAAAAGTTTATTTTTAAAAATAAATATGTTAGGCTGTTACTAAAACGTTTTGAGTGCAAGCATACAGCAGATATGTTGTTACAAATTATAAAGAAACTAGAAACTTTGTCGTCCGCAAGCGGCCGACTACGTTGCTAGTGTGCATTAACCATATTTTTTATTCATTTTTTTTCAAAAAAATTTAATATTAGAAATGTAAAAAAAATTTCTTTATATTGGATCTACCACCCAAGTAGCAAGGAATATTGCTCGAATGTCAAGCTGATATCAAGCGGCAATATTTTTGTGACATTCAGGCGATATCATAATGTCCTCTTCACGGGGACATTCCTCGGTGATGTATCTATATGATCTATGTGACGGCCTTTCACACAAAAAATGTAACGCATTACAAAACTTACATTCTACATTTATTAAACCTAAATAATTCTGTGGAACTTTACTTTCATTGAAATCTTTAAAAGACATTATTGCAACTCCTGCAGTTTTTTTATTCCAATTATCGTTTTTACATGCCAAATTCTTTTCTTGACGCACTTTCTTTTCATCTTCCGTTTCCGTAGAAAATTTTTTCTTCTTACATGACAAATTATTTTCTTGACGCACTTTCTTTTCATCTTGTGTTTCCATTGATATTTTGCTTTTCCTACATGCCAAATTTTTATCCTTGCGTATTTTCTTTTCATCTTCAGTTTTTATAGATAATTTCTTTTTTTTTGCATGTCAAATTTTTTTTGCGCTCTTTCTTTTTTATTTCTGTTTTATTACGATTACGTTTTCTCAATCTCTCATTCTCTTGTCTTATTATTTTCTGCTCATATGTAACTTCGCGCCTTGCCTTCCTTTTTCTTCCCTTCTCTTTAATTGGTCGAATTATCTTTTTATCATTTTCTTTACTCAGAAAATTCTTCATTTTTAAATATTCATGTGGTGAAATTTTGTTCACATTATTATCAGTTGTACGAATTATTTTCTTTTCACTAGTGTCATTTAGAGAATGTTTAATTTTTAAATATTGTGTTAATAGAACTCTGTTAATATTATTACTGTGCAAAGTATTAAAAACAGAACAAGAGTTTAAAATATAATATTTATGTTCCTAAGTTCAATTTATGAAAAGACGGTTCTAATTATTCTCTATTATCGAATTCCTATTGTGAGACGTTCTTACTGCCAGAAAATGATTTAAGCGATTATTTTCAAACATTGACTTAAAATGGTTTCTCATTTTGTTATTATCAGTTTCATAATTTACACGGTTTGGCATTACGTTAAATAATACAGATGTTGCAAATGCTATTGCATATACTCCACACTAAACACTACCAAAAAGTTGTTGATTAACAGCTTCAAAAACTACTGTTGGTTTAAAAGGGAACAATCTAATTAAACATTTTATTTGATGCACATTTAAACACCCCTCATTAAGGCTATCAAAAATATAAAGCCTTACTCTATCGTAATAAACATAAATTCAGTGACCATAATTGTTATTACCGCTAAAAAGTATTTGAATATGTTTATCACCTTCTCTAATTGGGACAATAAAATCAAGCATTTGTACATACAAAGTACTTTGCACATTGAAAAATGAATTGGAATCTTTTCTTAATAATTCTTCAAATTTGTACATATGCATGTAATTTAACAATTTATTTCTATTTTCAATAATTTTTAAATCTTTATCACTTCCCTCACAACACAAGGATATTCAGGATATCCCTGGGACGTCCTGGGGATATCCATTTGCTTTTGGCGATTCGGATATCCCTAAGATATCCTCTGGATATCCATGGACATCTCTAAGATATCCCAGGGATATCCAAACCGCCGAAAACAAATCGATATCCCCAGGACGTCCCAAGGATATCCTGAATATCCTTTTGTTGTGAGGGTTAAAATAACATACTCTTTTATGTTGGCCATAGTATACTTCGTTTAATTTTATTTTTGATTGATGAAAATCTAAATATCTTTAACCCTTTTGCTCACTCTCTCTAATATAACCAATTTTGTCTTTAATTCAATACAACCAATTTTACCTTTTATTAAAAATAAGCAATTTTTCCTTTAATTCAATACAATTAATTTTACCTTTTACTAAATATAACCAATTTTTCCTTTAATCCAATATAACCAATTTTTACTTTAATCCAATATAACCAATTTTGCCTTTTATCCAATAAAACTACCAAATATCCAAAAGAATGAGAGAACTATGAGTAACTATGAATCAGTAACTACTGATCAGCCAATAAGTGCAAAGAGGACACTCTTATATGAGTAATCAGTAGTTCATTACAAATAACATATATACGTATTTATACCTGTATTAAAACCCCGGAACAAATACCACAAAAAAACCAACCATTGGACAATAGAACCTTTGTTAATGGGGATTAACTCTGAGGACCCAGGTAATAATTTCTTTTTTCACATTTATTATATAGAAAAATAAAGATGTACCAACCCTTGGCCAATAGAACCTTTGTTAATGAAGATTAACTCTGAGTACATAATGAAATGTACAGTAGGTTTACATTGACATCGGCACGTCCGACGTCTCGAAATTTTTTCCGTGTATTATCACAAGGAAATATAAAGATAAAAGTCAAAAACTGAAGAGGTAATGTATATCTTTCTTTCTCACATCAAGGAATATAACATATAATTTTCATTTAATATTGCATTTCTCTATCTAGAGGATTCAAAATAACATAAGAATATCTTCGCCTAAAAATCTTACTCTTCTTTCTTTCTGTTTTCAAAATAAAAAAAATATGTATATACCAGTATTAGACTCTCAGAACAATTACCACAAACAATACCAATCCTTGGACAATAGAGCCTTTGTTAATGAAGATTAATTCTGAGGGGCCAGGTAATAATTTTTAAATTTTTTTATTAAAATTTTCTGGGGCTCTAATACAGGTAGGGGAGAGTGATAAACAGTGGGACAGTTTAAACAGTAGGTCACTTTAAACAGTAGGTCACTTTAATTTTCTGAAAAACTACTAAAAAAACTCGACCAAAATTTAAATGTAAACCATGTTTATGACAACACACTATCTATACGCATGCGCATTTATACTTACACAGCGACTAGAAATGTGATTTTTTATGCTAAAAAACATTAAAAAATTCAAAATTTATAATTATTACAATTATTGTTCGGCAACATTTGAAAAATAACACTTGATAAGAGAACGACTATTCAAATTTTCCTCCAAATTGTTTTTATGTTATGACGAAATTATGACGTATGATCAGCAGTACTGTAAACGTAAAAAAAAATAATAACAATTTTTTATATAAAACTTGACATCGTATTATAAAAATGTAAAATATTATTAAAATATAAGTGTTTTGCAACATTTGTTAACGTTATTTAATGCAAAACATATATATTTATAAAGTATGAAGCAGAATATTATTATTGAAACAAATATTCATTATTTAATAATATGTGTCCCACTGTTTAACACAAACCTTGAAAACAAGAAAAATGTATCAAGTTCCAAAAACTTGAAATTTTTCTATTTAATCACAATATAATTTAAATAGAATATATGCATTATGTGGAAAAGAGTTCAAACTTTATGGTAATACCAAAAAGTGGACAAAAATATATAAAATTGAAAAAAAG